TATATATATATAATATAAAAATTTAGAATCTTGTCTCAAGTCTTTTATGCGAATATAATTCTAAAGGTTTCTAATCTCTTTATCACCTAAATCTGGTGAGCTCGATATTCTATCTTTCTCAGCATTTTCAGTCTTCTCTGCATACCCAATGTTTTCCGATTCGTTTTTTGATGTCTTTCTCCTTCGATTTTTACATAAAAATTGAAATATGCTATTACATTATTCTTTTTCTACGGCTTTTCCGTAAAAGTTCAGATATTCTGTTAGATTATCTGGAGAAACACATTATACCATTATATCATACATCATCGTATAAATCGCCGGAAAATTTTCTCTTGCATGTATTTTCTGCAATACTTTCAATATCTCCTTCTTGTTCTTGATGTCCTTCTGCTTCAGCTTTTGCGTAAGAAGCAAGCACTTCTGATATCTTATCTGAGTGGATGTCGTCATTTTTTATTATTAACTTCTGTAATTTGTGCGAGTCTGTTGCCAAATTATCTTTTTTTTCTATGTTTTCTTCAATGCATTCAGCATTTTCTATGCATACAGTTTCAGTACTTACGGTATTTTCCTGTTGTTTTAGACGTTTATATTTTATGGAAAAATCTAGTGGTTTTGATATTAACTCGACAGCGGTGTCTTCTTCTGTTACATTATCTTCTTTTGTATAAAAATCTGGTTCCAAAAGATTTTTGTCTTGTTCTTTTATGGAAAGATCTAGTAGTTTTGATATAAACTCGACAGCGGTGTCTTCTTCTGTTACATTATCTTCTTTTGTATGAAAATCTGGTTTCAAAAGATTTTTGTCTTGTTCTTTTATGGAAAGATCTAGTGGTTTTGATATAAACTCGACAGCGGTGTTTTCTTCTGTTACATTATCTTCTTTTGTATGAAAATCTGGTTCCAAAAGATTTTTGTCTTGTTCTTTTATGGAAAGATCTAGTGGTTTTGATATAAACTCGACAGCGGTGTCTTCTTCTGTTACATTATCTTCTTTTATATGAAAATCTGGTTCCAAAAGATTTTTCCAGAACTTTTCAATATCCATAGGCATAAGATTGATCCACGGCTCGCAAGATATTTTAATACAATCTTCTATGTCTAAAGATTTATAAAATTTTTTCAACCCCTTATAAGAAAATTTCCTGATTTCGTCGCGAATATTAGGATCTATTGGTTGAAGCTTTCCGAATGAGTTTACTGGGTAAAGCCTAATTTCGAAATTGTTAACTTTTACGATGTCTTTTAGGGCATAAAACTTATGAATATTTTTTAGTAGTAAAAATACTTTACCGCTTATATTTGTTTTCCATTGATGTTCTTTTACAGATCTTATAAAGTAATTACAGTACCAATCTATGATAATTTCTTGATTCTGAAAATCATTTTCTTGTAACTTATAAACTAAAGGCGACGTATTTTTTAAAATTTTTGGGGTTTTTTGGTGTGTATATTTATAAATACAAAAGGGTGGAAGTTTGTGATTACCTGTAGCATTTGTACAAAGCATAAAAGTTAGACTGTCATTTTTCAAATTTTCTCTTTTAGTGGCAGAAGGATGTTTACACGTTATGGTCATATCGATCAAAGCATAAATATTATCTCTAATGATATTTTCCTGTTCCAATCGCCGAGTGAAATCTTGAACAAATTCTTTAGCTTCCGCTTTATTTAATTCTCTCTTATTCCGTTGCACGAAATTTTGCGAACTCTCAGGCATGTTTTGCAAAATTTCGTGTTGCTCCTTAAAATTTCGCAGCCAATGTTCTATGTTAGTTCTCGATGATTCACCAAACTTATTCACCAATTCTACCATTTTTGCTTTAAGATCCGCATCGAAAGTTGTGCATCCCAATTGATTTTGCTCTAGCCACCATTTATATAGTTTTTCATCCAAAGAGTAGTTTAAATTACCGTATTCCTTTTCTGCTTGCATTGTTTTTTGTTTCGCTAATTGATTTATTCTATTTGGCTTCCGTTTAACATTTATATATAATAAATTATATATTACAAATTTTATAATCAGTAGCAATTTGTAGATTACTGAAATATTTTTCCTTAATTTTTACTGAGCTTCAAAATGTTATTGATACGAAAGGCAGATAATATCTTTTTGCACTATACGCGCTTAGTTGACATTATAAAGATTATTAAAAATTTTTACACAAGATTCTGCTTTACTGCGTATTACTGACTTTAGAGAGATTCCGAAAACTTTTGCCGCGTGACATGAAATTATCGAAATATTGACAATGACAACTGAAAGTTGTTACGGTTAGTTGCTCATGAGAATAACCTTGCGAACGACCGAGGATAAAAATATTATTTAACAAACGTGTGTCTAATCGCTAACGATAGTATTTTCTTATTTCCAATGTTTATTGTTTATAAATAGTGACATTATTATTTATGATTTATAGTAAAAATAATGAAAAAGATTAACTGTAGAAGACAATTTTTTTGTTACTTATACATACAGCATTTGATTTTTGATTTTCAATTTATTATATTTATAATTTATTATTTGAAATATAATTTATCTAAATCTAGTTAATGAGTTTTTATTTTCAGTGTTAATTTTGTCGAAAATTATTTGAAATAAGTTTTTTATATAGATTCTTGTAATTTAGATTGTACAAATTTTTGTATTTTTAATTGGACCCAATTTAAAATAAATCTAGCGTTTTTGTTATATTTCCTCTTTGCACCGATAAAAAGTGTGGATTCGAAATTGTCTTACTTTTAACAGTATAAGCAAACACATTACATGTTTACGATCGATAGGTTATTCCTTTCTGAGATACTCTATCAGACAACTCACGGGCGAGAAAATTTAGCAGATACAAGCCATTATTATGTTAGGCGAAAATGATAGTGAGGTAGCTAGTACGAATGGTAATGACCATTACGAGGATATTTCGCTGATTGTGCACCATCACAAGATCAAGGCAGAGATGGTATCAACGCTGATTCGAACACCTGTTCTTATACGTCGCCGCGCCGTCTTATAGCGGCAGTGCGATATACCATGGTAAAATATTTTTTTATTAAATTAAACGCAGTACTCATTGGACTCGTTCGTTAATTTAATGACACTGAATGTCGCCACCGTTTGGACTTTCTCGATTCAACAATATATTCTCAGATGTGATAACTCGCAAGTTTCGCAATTTAAATTGCACAATACCTATAAATAAAAAAATAGTATTTAAAAAATTAAAATATAATAAAAACAGAATTATAAATACTTTTCAACTTCAAGAAAACGTAATGTGATTAGGGATACTTGTTTTTATTTCTCCTATCACTTCGTATATAAATCGTAAAATCATAATATTAACATAATATTAACACATGTTTTATTATGTATGTCGATTTTTAATTTATCGATTTAAAATTTGATAAATATAGTTGACTAATCGCCCGTTTAAAATTTGACTTCTTGTCAAAAAATTTGTTATATTCTAATATCAGTATTTATTGGCTTTGATCATAATCAATTATTTTTAAATTATTAAGAAAAATAATTTATAACAAAAACAAAACAAAATATATATATATATATATATATATTTTGTTTTGTTTTTGTTATAAATTATTTTTCTTAATAATTTAAAAATAATTGATTATGATCAAAGCCAATAAATACTGATATTAGAATATAACAAATTTTTTGACAAGAAGTCATATATATATATATATATATAAAATTATAATTGTTAACAATTTAGTATTATTGTTTATTTAATTTATATGATATAAGATTACCAGATTTATGTAATGTTTATAAAAATTATATAAAAACTAATTTTATATACAATATCATCACAATGATAACGTTTATATCGATTTATATTAATTATATCGATTTCTTTTATCCGCAACGAATTATTTGATGTTCACAGAAATTATAATAAAATAACAATAATTTTCAAAAACACTCGCTACAATGACGAAGCTAATTGTAAAGAGATATAATGTAAGGTAAAAACATGTCATATATTATATTCTATATACAATACAACAAATTATGTTGCCTTGTATATATATATATATATATATATATATATATATAAATTGAGACCTGGCTAACATT